AGCTCCTAGTCTGGGGGAACACTGATGAGAAGGCCGAGAGAGAGAAAGCCTTCCCCTGGAGCTGACGCCCTGAATTTGGCCTTTTAGCCTACTTTGACTGTGAGGAAATAAACTTCTCTTCGTTAAAACCATCCACTTGTGGTATTTCTGTTATGGCAGCACTAGATGACTAAGACAGTAGGGAATTGCAGTAGGCACTTAACAGCTACCAGGGCAATAACAGGCTACAGTCATCTCTACCCTGAGCCTCTCCTGTGTCCCTGGCCTTATAACCTACTCTTGCTGGCTTAGGCTCAGTGAGTCTGTGGGTTGGTGGTACCATGGCACTCCAGGGAACCTGCTGGAGAGAGTCCCTGCCCCTGCCCCCTTCCTCTAACCCCACAACAGAGCCTCTGACTCCATACCATCCCTTACTCAGGCACAAGTCCTAAGTCTGCTAATAGAGTGGGAGAAGTCTTCAGCTCAACCTCATCCACACTTATCACACATTTCGAAATATGATACCTAAGGAGCATTATTATTATTTCTTAGAGGTGAGGGTTAACTGGGAATAAACGGCTTGTCAACAACTTGTGTGTGGTACAGCTAGGACCCCAACCTAAGTCCCTCATCTTTATGTCCCTGACCTTATTTGTTTAAATCATGACTGCCTCCCAAACAGTGATAATTACCAGCATTTATAATGCCACAGTTCATGGTTCTGTCTCTTTGGGAAATGCTTCTATCTTCCAATTTGGGACACCAGAAATAAATATCTCCTCTTGCTTTGTGGAGGGATAAGGCAGATGATTTATTTAAAAAGCAGTGAATGGCTTGCTTGGCTGCACGCAGCATCTACAGCAAGAAGTCACTTCTGTACATTTATGAGTTCCTCCTTTGCATTTGTTCAAGAGGGGTAACAAGGGATGAATGGTAATCATTTTCCAGGTGTTCTGAGTTGGGGCATGGACTCAGGACTTGACCACCTTCTTTGCTGGTTACCTGTGGATGAGTCATTTACAAGTCAGATGATTCTGTATGGGAATCTGCTCATATCAGATACCAAAGCGGACTGGTCTTACCCACTTGAAGGACTGAATGCCAAAATTAAATGGGAGCTTGTGGGTTTCTTAGCATTTCCATTTTTCTGTACCATGTCTATAATCCCTGGTGTTCCTGACAGAAAAGGAGGAAAAAACTCAAGGTACAGTAATTATCTATAAAAATATTATTTAGAAAAACTACCTATAGTACAAAATGAAAGCTAAAAAGGTAATTTTAGCAAAAGATGAACTGAATAGCTCAATTATAAATGGGAATAATGGGCAGGATAACTCTGGGGACATTTTTGGAAGAGGCTGCACAGGCCTGGCTCACTATTATTTACTCCCCATTGCTAACCGCCACATTGTCTCATAATCTTGTTTCTCCAGTCTCTACAAAAGGTTTAAGATCAACGATGTTCCTCCCTGGAGGGTGGAAGACAAGTGATAATGATCTAAGAATGAAAAACAAAACAGAGCACCCATCTTGTGACAAGAAAAAGCAGGATGTTGCCAGATAATCCCCAAGGATGTTACCAGATTACCTCTAAGAATACCAGTAGAAGGTTAACTCATCTAAGACATCATCACCTCAAGGGGAAACTACCACAAAAGATCCGTAATCCTGTCCCTATAAAAGACTTTAGCTGATCTCCAGTGGGGGAGATGGGTTTTTCTGGAGGAATCTATTCCCCCTCTGTCTCCTATATATCGACATATAATAAACATCTTGCTGCTCACCTCACCCCTGTCTCAGAATTGGCTATGGCGGCAGGCGGCTCCAATCCGCATTATTGTGGCAACATTTACAGAAAATTTGTGAGTCTAATTTTAGCAATTATGTTAGCAAGTGGTAAAACAGATCTGAGATTCCCCTTGTCTCTCTTCCTCTGCCCTCCCTTTAGAGATACAAGTCAGGAAAATTCCATGTACTGGAAAAAAATCAAAAAAAATTTTTTGGGATGAATGTTTCTTATTAAAAGCAATTTAAAAAGTAGTAGATGATGAAGGCTAAGAGGATTAGGATGTTGAGGCAGCCTCAAAGTGAAAACAGCTTTTGGTTGTTTTGGGAGGCTGCTTTTTCTCTCTACAGGCTTTTTTTTTTTTTTACCAGGATCACCAAAGAACTATTTGGTGAAGAAATCCAGGAATAGTCCCTTATTCTTCTTAGTTTCCCTACAGCTTTTAATATGGTTTATTGCAGTTTCCTGAAACCACTCCCACTATTATATTTGTCATCTAGACAACCATGAACTTCAGTATAGTGACTTGTCAGTCAGACTGGCGGGAGCTGTGGGTCGATTGTACCGTCTGGTGGCTGCTGTTCTCCATGATCCTCTGTCATCATGGTTCTACCATCTGCAAACAACCAGGTTTGCCTTTTCACCATTGTCTGCGGAAGAGGAGGAGGATGAGCAAAAGGAACCTACACTGTAAGAAAGCTTTGAAGGAATGAAAATGAGAAGTACCAAACAAGAACCACATGGAAATTGTAAAGTGAATAAAGCAGAAGATGCTTTGAAGTGGGTAGAAGAGAATGTTCTTTCTTCCGCGACAGATGTAGCACTTCTGGCCCTTCTGGATTCAGATGAGGAACAATAATTACATACTTTGAAAGGTCCAGGATGGAGTAAAGAATAGGTTGAATTGCAGTTGACAACGTCTAGTATCAGGGAAGAGATCAGCTTCTGTGTCAGTCTTCTACCACTGCTCCATGGGCTTAAAGGAGGCAGCAGCTTCTCGAACTATTCCTTGATCTTGGTGCACTGGAGCTGGCAAGAGGTGTCAGAACAAGGAGAATCTTACTGAAAACAATCTCATAGCATGAGAAAAATCTACACGTTTCTAATTTCCAACACTCATGCTCTTCCCCCCCGCCCCCCACACCCTGACATGGATGTTTATGCAACTTCTTTGTGTTTTTCTGAGCCTTCTGTAATGTTTCAGTTGTTTAATCTGTCAAACTAAAAAGTTTAACATCTTCTAAAGGATTCTGACATCAAGGTCATAATATGTAATCTCCAGGAACAACTGCCTGTGATTTTTATTTCTTTAGGGAATTACGTAAGTGAGGGGGGAAATTGTTAATTATCTTTCAGTTTCCTGGAAGTCAAGGTTACATCTTGCAGAGATAGTTTTGAGAAAAAAGGGCGCGTCTGAGGTAAGCAGCCATGGTTCTATCGAGGATCAAAAGTACAACAACAACAAAAAAGAAAAACTTACAGTGTGATTCAGATCATTTCAAAAAGCAAAATCAGCAGTCCAGGGACAAGGACTAGAAGGCAGAAAGGGACAGGAAAGCAGGTGATAGGGAACCCAAGGTTGACTAAGGACAGTGATGACATGTAGTGAGGTTGTTAACCATTGTCATAGGGCAACATGTTTACTAACTAATGAGAAACTATTCTGTAAACCTTCATCTAAAGTGAAAATAGCAGTGCGACTGGAAGAGCGTAGTTGATGTCACTGAACTGTGCATGTAGAAATTTTTGAAATGGTGTATCTTTGGCTATGTACATTTTCACATAAAAAAAAAAAAGTCGAGAAGGGAGAGGGTTGACATGTCGTGGGATTGGTAACCAGTGTCATAAAACAATATGTGTACTACTGTTTAATGAGAAACTATTTGTTCTGTAAACCTTCACCTGAAGTACAATAAAAAAAAAATTGTTAATAAAAAAGCAAAAACAAGTGCAATTTTATTTATAAATGGTGTATATTAAAGATTTTGCTATTTCAGATGTAACTTAGAAATATTAGCTTAACTCTTTTGACATCTGCTATTGTGATACATCCCATTGCTGGCAATGTGGTACACACTCGGGAACTTTTAACTGCTGTTATGGAAGCCTGTGTGAAGTTCTAGGCAATGCTTTGTTTGCCCTCGTGCCCTTCACTGGGTGTTGCACTGGGTGCAGAGAGGCACTCCATCTTAAGTGCTTGTGAATGAGCCCCCAGCTAGAGGAACGGTAATGCTTCAGAAAAGGGAGCTTGTTACAAAAGAAACAGGTCCTTCTGGCTTCATTGAAACAGTTAGTCCTGCATGATGTGATGTGGAGGCCCTGGACTGCTGCTCATTCTTTAGGACTGACTGTTTTTGTATTTGGTGTTGGTTTAGAGACTGTTTCTAAGAAGCATCTCAAGGTGATGGGATTCATTTGAAGCACTTCATTTCTCTTCTAATGCTTTTATCCACTTTTGCCTCCCTAAGATTTTGTTCTATATAAAAAGTTCATGCTACTTTTTAATATAAAAATTTTTAATAAAATTAAAAAAAAAAAAAGAATTACAGGACCGAAACACTGGAATTTCACAATGACCTTTTGCAATTCTGTGACCGAAACACTGGAATTTCACAATGACCTTTTGCAATTCTGTGTCCTTATGAGAAGCGGTCCAAGCAAAGAAACTTGAGCTTCAGCGCCTCAGGCAAATATCCTAAAACATATCACTAACACTCCTCTATCCTTGGGGGAATGTGGGCAAGTTAGAGATTGAGAACAGAATGAAACATTTTGTATGGTAGAGGAAACATGGCTGTTTACTTTTAAAAATTATTTGCCCTTGTGTCGGGACGGTGTCATTGCTGAGAGGAACTCCAAGAATCATCTACATTCTAGTTGCCAGATTTCTCGTAGAGATGAAAGTAGGATCGCAGATGTTGAGTGGTTGGCCTAAGAGTTCTTTCATATCTAGTTCATGTTCTAGTCCCAACCGGAATCCAGTTGTTTTCCTACTCTGTGAAGCAAGTAAAACAAATTTTACTGCAATCAATAGAGTATCTGGCATGCATGATAAATTTTAATTTTTAATATGGTTTATTGCATTTTCTTTTTATCCTTTCGATTTCTCTGCATTAAAAAAAAATCTATTCTTTTTTAATTTTTTTTTTTGCTTTTGTCTGCATATTACAGCTGCTTTGTGTTTTTCTCTTTCTGGTCCCAAACCCCTTATTCTTGTGACCCTAATACTCCCTGGCATGTTTTCTCCTTTTCAGAATGGGCGACTGAGAGCTTGACATAACTAACTGCCATGATGAACCTGTGAGTTTTTTTTTTCTTTGTCTTCTCCTTTTCACACAACTTTGTTAATGACTTTGTTTTCCTCTGTCCAGCCACCTGGGGCTTACGACCCCCCCACAGGAAGATCAGAGCCCAGATGTCAGATATGGAAATGTATGGCAGGTATTTCTTTAGTATGATAGAGTCTCTTGTAATTACCTTGTAATGAATAATGACACTTCTAACCTTTGTAAAAATCATATATAAGCTCTGATGTAAAAGTGCCGTTTGGGATTCCATAGAGACAGCCTGCATTGCTGTTGGATCCCAGGTGGTGTACATCTCCTAAATTAAGACTTTCTCACTGTTTCTGACTTGGAGTACATTTCATTGGCTCGACTGCTTCAGGGCACGGACCCTATTCAGGTAACATTCTGGTCAGGAGGCATCTTGTGAGAATCTGCAATTTTAGATAGACAACTGAGCAGTAAAAGAGGTAGGGCAAATGAAAAACAGATTACTGTGATGATGGATTTCTTTTTCATTGAAATAAATCTTGGATCCTGCACCTTATGCCTTAGTGCTGATCTGTTACCCTGCTGCCCTACTCCCCCACCTGTTTTTTTCTATGATCTAATGATTCTTCTGTTATACCAGCTAGGGTTTTACAGCAGGGACTTTTTCTCTGAGTTTGAGCAGCTGGTATTCCCCTCCTTGTTCTGCATATCTGTCCTAGACTTTCTCCTTCTTTTGGGTTGTGACTATATTTGTTCTTTTCCACAGCTGGAGGAAAACAGGAAAATGAGCATAGAAAGTGCCAAGTCTTAATAGAAATCCCCCTTTATCCCCTCCCCCACCCTTCCCCTTCCTCCCCAGCCACCCATCTCTCTTCTGTTGCAACTCTTACCAAACCGTTTTTCTGGGCACATAGCCAGAGGTGAGAAGAAGTGGGGCTGTTCAATAATGTCATTTACTGGTTCTGGCCAAGTATTGCCTCATGACTTGACATTTTATGTGTTTATTGCTTTGACATCTTCCTGTGTCTTTCTGATTCTCATTGTCTTTCACTGCCTCTCCTTTTTTGCCCACACATATCTTTTCAATTCCACATCATTTTTATTTCTCCAGATTTTGACTTTTTCTCCTTGGGCCTTTTCTGCCTTCTGCCACCCCCATCTCTCTCCACCTTTGACTGCTTCTCTCTAAAAATCTTTCCTGCTTCCCTGAGTTTTTAGTCCGTTTCATGGGAGGAAAAACAAAGGCCCGTGATCCAGATGAATACACCTCACATATACTTTGTGCACCTTTTTCTACAATGATTCTACCTAAGGAATCTGTTTACATGCACGTTTGATCTCATAGTGCTGACATTCTTGCTTTTTGTCCAAAGGAATGACCCATCACACCATCAGACAGGTGGACAGGAAGCCACTGTAAGAGGTCCATCTGCATGACAAAATGGCTGCTCAGTTACTTATTTGAAAAAATCACCCTGTGTAGTGATTTATGTTCTAATAATTATAAAACTAATTGATAGAAAAATGGTATTTTATTTTGAATTGAAACTTGTAGTTGCATTTTAGAACAACATCTCCTCATGGATCTTCTCTCACATTTTTTATGGATTTGTGGTCTCTGGAGGTGATTTTTCTCTCCAGATCTGCTAAACAGAATCCATGATGAATGAGTTGAAAGGCAGCCTCACCACTGTCTTCTGTAAGGGGCTGAAAGGTACATAAGGACAAAGATGCCTTTGTCTTCTCATTCTGTGAACCCAGGTGCTGAGTTCTGAAAGCTTTCTTAAAAGAAAAAGAGTCAAGTAAAGAAGCATTACAGCAAACACTACCTTATCAACTCTGGCTTTGTAGTAAAACTTTAGAAAAATACAAATACACAGGGCCCAACCCTGACCAGTCGAATCAGAATCTTTGGGGGTGGTGCCCAGACATTCCAGATGATTCTAGTACACGACAAGGTAAGTGTCACTCCAGAAAGGGACTCCTGCTTCCTTGTGGAATCCTGCTCTCCCTGGCTTTCTCCATCCTCATCCCAATCCTAAATCCATAGGTGCTCAGAAAAAAGGGAAATGGGTTATGCTCTTCAGTGTACATGCCCATTAAGTTGGTCCAGTGAGATAGCACACGTTAGAGTCTTCTTAGTGTTCCATGCCAAAACAACAACAACATACCACAAGAGAAAACAAAACAAAGAGCCGTGTCTCCCTCAATGGCCTGAAGTGCCTATTTGTTCACAAGTCAGTGAGAATTATTATTCTCCTTTTTTGCCTTAGCTTCCAGGAAGCCCAGAACTGGACTAGAGCCAACCACATGACTCCTCTGAGCTCTTGTTTTGGTTTGAATTATGTCTCCTGCTTCACAATAGGACTTTTGAAATTTTATTGAAAGACATTTAATAATATTGTACAAACAACCATTCACATGTAGAATTTGGACATCATATAGGAATACACATTAGGGGAGAGTGCAGGTTACAAGACTGATGGGGATACGTGGTCACAGCAGAAGTTGTTGGTGCTTTGCCCAGGAATCACGTTTCCTGGCTAAGGTGGTGTACCCATCCCCTATCTGTTGCAGGTGTTCCAGCTAATGGCCCATGTTTGCAGCCTTCTGCTACTTTGCCTCAAGGTGCCTGGGAGTTAAACTATTTATCCCCACCACCACTGGGAGTACACAAGCTCTACTCTCTGACCTCAAGGTACACAGATTCTGCAGGCTCCCTGCTTGCCCCAGATTGTGCCTTAAATCATATTGTTACATGACCCCTTTCCTTTCTCTGTCATGCTTGCCTCAAAACAAAGCAAAATAAAAATCACCAGTTGCCCTCGAGTCCAACTCATGGTGACCTCGTGTTTCAGAGTAGAACTGTGTTCCATAGGGTTTTATTTCAGAAGTAGATCACCAGGCCTTTCTTCTGAGGTACCTCTGGGTGGATTTGCACCTCCAACCTTTTGGTTGACAGCTCAGTGCTTAACCATTTGCACCACCCAGAAACTCCCCTGCTTGCCTCACTTGCTGATAAATCACAGTGCCTAAGATACTGGTATAACCTGCCTCTTGAAGGAAAAATAGATATTTCAGAGTAAGCTATATTGTTCCTTCTATTTCTGTCTTTCCCTCTAAAGCATTAGCCGCAGCTTTTGAATCTCATATTTTAAGAGTATAAGTAATTAATATATGACTTTTTTTTTTTGGAGAATTGACTAGTATGTGTTTGGAAAGAGTCTCTAGCATTTTGGTTTTAAGAGCAGGGGTGTGGGGGCAGGGTTTGATAAACAGGCCCTTCCTTTTCCCCCAAATATTACCCCACTTCCTGCTGCCTTTGAGCTTTGTCATTGGAGACTTGTTCCATTGGAGACTCAGGAAACCTCGGAAATAGGTGTACCAGTTGCTGTCAAGTTGATTCTGACTCATGGCAACCCTATGTGTGTCAGAGTAGAACTGTACTCCCTAGGGTTTCTCATGGCTGATTTTTCAGAAGTGGATCTCCAAATCTTTCTTCTGAGGTGCCTCTCGGTGGACAGGAACCTCCGGCCTTTCAGTTAGCAGCCAAGCACGTTTACACCATTCAGGGATTCCTAAAATCCTCCTAAAACCTGAGGTTTTCAGAGGTAAAATATTAGGTAGGACAACCTTGGACTCTTGTGCAATGGGGTAGACAGGAATGCTGAACGTGATGTGTGCTGAATGTGGTGGGTGTGCTTTGAGGCTTAGGAGTGAGGGTTTGAAACATCCAAGGCCACATATCCTTATTTTCCTCTGTTGTTTTCCTGGAGCTTCATGCCGTGTTGTTTTGATTTGTCTTCCTCTATGATTCCGCTGCACTTTGTCCACAGTCCGTTACAGCGTGTATCACAATGTGCTTAGCAATGCAGTGACCTGCGCCCACACTGTTGTCTCCTATGAGGCTGTACCTTTCTTGGGGACCAGCAACCTTGTTTCCCCCATGTTTCGATACTCTCCATTTCCTAGCATAAGTAAGGTGCTCAATATGTATCTTTTATCAAATGAATGGGAATGGCATTTTTGCTGAGTTAAAGTTGTTTTGTATAAAATGTTTGAAAGAAATGGAAGAAATTTTTTAATTCAAAGAAAATTATAATAGAAAGTGGGAACAGAATAAATAGAAGGAACAAAAATGATTAAATATGTACTATATTATTATCTCTTCTACCACTTGTCTGTCAGTTTGTCATACTGTGGTGGCTTGCATGTTGCTGTGATAATGGAAACTATGCCACCACTATTTCAAATACCAGCAGGGTCACCCATAGTGGACAGGTTTCAGCAGAGCTTTTAGATTAAGACAGA